GGGTAAGGCCAGAGCGCACATTGACGGTGTCGTCTTCTAATAATTCACTTCCCAGGTTTCAGTGACACCGTTGTAAACTGCAAGCAAAACTTTGGTGTTTTTTGTTGCTTGACTTCTAGGCAGCTCCTTATCTAAGTTGGAGAAATGGGGTTGCTTGTTTATACACTTCTTTTTCCATCAGTCCAGCCTTGAGTCGAAGCCCGGCTGTCCGGAGGGAACACACCTTACAGGCCTGAGGGAACGAATGAGAAAAATCCCAGCATTAGTGGAGGGGCAGAAACAAACCCAAGGCAGGTTATCTGTGTCTGTAAGGCCTGCGGGCTCATTAACAGCTCTCATCTTTGGGGCTCATCATTTACTTTTACAAACTGTTTTCATGTGTAACATTGTTTGGACAAGAATGATTTCACTCGGTTTAAATGAAATACTAATATAAAAGAAAGAATAACAACGAAGGTTTAGAAACAAACAACAAACCACTCTCCTACCTCTCCTTCCCCAAAAGAAAGGACTGAATTAACTGGGTCCCTCCTATGCTCCTGACCTGTGATACTGGCCTTCGCACGCGATCCAAAATTAGCAAGAACTCTTTATTTACTACCAAACTGACTAAAAGCAGACGAGTAGCCTTAAATCAGAACTTGTTACCCACGTGTTTGTTAAATGCTGTAAAGTTAGTTCTCACTGTGGATTCATTAATACCCAACAAGACTCTTTCCTTGAACCTTGCAGACCCTTCCTGTTTGTACCCCATTTCATCACCCCATCTCCATCACACAGCACCAGAAATAACAAAAGACCAGTCGGAGATAAAGACTGAGCAAAACTATAGAAACACTTCGGAATGTTTTTCCTCCCCTAGAAAGAAGGTGCATTGCGTTTGTTGCTATTTATTAAACAAGAAAAAGTGTAGATGAGTCTGAATGTCTGGGGGGGGGTTCCTCAGAATAATAATCTTCTCTCCTTCCTTTAGCTCCAAATAACTAATAAGAAGCAAAGAGAAAGACTGTTGTTTGTGATGAAGAGATGGGGGTCTTGCATGTTGCAAAGGCCTGAAAACCCTGAACACATGACCAGGGATGAATTGGTGCGTGTGGCAGAAGACTGAATATGTTCTAATAGTCCCCAATCCATTTTTTTAGTTTAAAAAAAATTCAACAGTGACTTATTAAGGAAGGCGACATGAAAGGTTATGAGTTATTTGGTCATTGATGGCTCTATTATACTGCCTTTTAAATCAGGTTGAAATAATCTTGACCAGAAATTGCATTTACTAGTGACAGGGATGTAAATACATAGCCTCTAAAAATTATTCAAATTCTTGAGTAACATCAAGAACTCAGCTTAGGGAGCATTGAAATCAAAATGAGATGCCCTAGAAAAAAAGAGAACTTTAAATTCGTTTAGAGGAGTAGAGATTTTTGAAATTTTCTCTGAAGGTCTTAACTCAGAGTTTATCTGCTCTCTCCATATCAAGGACTGCTCTGCTTCCTCGGAACATCTCATGCAGGATAAAGCACACACTTAAAACTCGCCTTCAATATGGATTTAAGTGGGTAGCAGGGCAAATAAATACTGTCTTTCCCGGTTGGAAAGGGGAGGGACCCTTAATCCTCAACACTGATGAAAAAGGGGGGGATTATAGGATTCTGCAAGAAAAGCCAAAGAAACTAAAACTGAGTTTCTGTTTTGTCATTAACAAAACAAACAAGGCTTCCTTGCATTCTTTTGATAAACAATTTTTTAAGTGTTGAAGAGCTTTAAAAGTTTCTGCATTTTCCAATTATGCTCTGCTTTTATTGGTGGGTTTTTGTTGTTGTTCTTGTTTTTCAAATGTGTTTGGGTGGAGGAAAAGTACTGAATAGATTAACAACGAGAGGGAGGCCCTTCCTAAACACATTTTGCATTTTGTTTAAGACAGTCCTTATTTATATAGAGATACCTTTAAAAATGAACGCGTTTTAGGTTACATTTTTAGTGAAAAAAAAAAGCTCATTAACAAATGTTGGAATACCAACACCTGGATTTATAAAGCAACTTTCAGCCTTTAGGATTAGGAAGCTCAGCTGTATGTTTTAAAGGAAGGGAATAATTGCTACTTTGCGATATTTGTTACTCAAATGACACTACACTCTCAAACGCCTGTCAAAAAGGCAAATCGTGAGAAGACCGGTGAACAGCAAACTGCTGAAATACTAACTATGCAAAACATACATACCCCTCAGGCAATAATTTTCCTTTTCAGTTCAGTGTCCACCGAAGGAGAAATTTACAGAGGTCAAATCAAGACTCTTTTGCCGTTAAGGAGGAGTGGGGGAGGGGGACGAGGGGAGAGGGACGGACACGCGACAAACGTAAAGCCAACTGGTGGCATTCAGTCAAGAAGGCAGGTAACACTCGGGAAGCGGGTGAGTTGTACAATTCAGCTGGGCGCTCCAAAGCTTTCCGGAGCCGGGCTGTGTTCGTGCTTCTGTGCTTTTTCCTTGAAGCCTGGCCTTATGTTGCAGGGGTGCCCTAGGAGGGGAACTTTTCGATGTTGGGAAGCTGCAGGTAGGAAAGGAAACCCGATCCGTCCCAAAAGGCAGCAATTAAAGTCTTAACCGCGACCCATCTGTCGTGGGACGACCCCCCACCCCCACCCCTTCCCCTAAAAGCTGTACGGCGCTCTTTGTCTGAGCAGGAGGGGAGGAGACAGGTTTTGCGGCCCCAGCTGCAAACGGAAAGAAAATTTCCAGCCTGGGCGAACGATGGCTGATTGCGTCCCGGCCAAGAACCGCTCTTAAGCGCCGCCGGGGGGTGTAGAGCCTCTTCCCGGATTCGACCCGTGTCCTTTGCCTCTTTCTGCGCTTCTCTACCGCTGCTTCTGTCCTCCCAGCTCGAAGCCACCCCGAGACCTGACACGAGGCACTTCCAGGCCTAGTTGCTAAGGCCGGTCGCATCCAGACCTTTCCCCAACCTGGCCCTATGGTTGCTTTCAACTTCCAATAGGACTCAAGTCTCCTCCCCCATTTCCTCGGCAATTGGGTTTCCCCATCGCCCATCCAGCTGCTGTCCTTCGGCCTTGGGCATTCGGTCCAGCCCTCTCAGCTCGCCGGGCGGGGACCAGCCAGCCCTCACGAAAAGCCGGAGTGAGGGCCCGTGGCAAGTGCTGGGCAATGAGGCAGGGAGGAGGGGACACTTTGAAGTTAATTTCCTCTGTTTGGGGTCCGACTTCGCATTTTAGGGTGGAATTGGCCAGGGGCTCAACAATCCCAGGGCTTCGAGCCGGCTTGCAGCCAGCCTCCCACTGCCGAGCCTTTCCAGGGCTCCTGCAGGAAGAGGACGCCCACACCCGCTTGGCTCGATGTCGGGCACCCGCCACCACCCGTTCTACACGCACCCACTCGGAGGTAACTCACCAGGTAGATGCCACCCTGGGTTGCGACGGGCGGCCACTCACAGGAGGGTGCAGGACGCAAGGCTCTAACGGGCACCTCTGCGCTCTTCCTCCGTCTCCAGGCGAGGGTTCGCAACGGCAGAGTTCTCCCAGCGCAGCCGCCAGTTCCCCGCCAAGTCCCGGCACACCTGGATCTGCAAGGTCGCCGGCTTGCAAAGGGGAGTGACAGGGAGGGCGCGCGCCGCTGCTCCCTGCGCGCCCTGGGCCGCGCCCGCCTAGATGGCGAGAACCCGCGCAGACGGAGTCGAAGCCACTGGAGTCTTCCGGGAACACTCCCTGCACTCCACCGCTCCTCCCTGGGAGTTTTGGCCGAGGCGCCACACATGGAGGAAGGCTGGATGGGGGGCGTTCCAGGAGCATGGTCTCCAAGAGTTCTGGGAGGCGGCAGCGTGGCTGTGGCCAGGATTGGCTCGCTGGCGGGTCTCTGTGCTCGCCGCCGGGCGTTGTACACAAATCCTAGCTGCAGCCTGCGCCGCTTTGAGGAGGCTTGCGGATACCCGCAGTACGGAGGTTGTGGGGGAGGGAACCAATAAGTTGTTTCCCTTCTCCGCTCTACATTCAGAACTTAAAATGCTGCGAGAGAGCTCTAGTGAGCGCAGGTGCTTAAAGAAATACTCTTTCCGGGGCTCTCAATGGCAACGCATAAAGCGCGCGCGCGTCTGTTTGTGTGTAGCGGGGGTGGGGTCCGGCCCTAGTCGAGGTTTCTTTTGGCATGACACCCGCTTATTCCTTGCACCTCAACTTTGTGGACGGAGCGTATGTCACATCGTCGAATTTACAAAACCACAAACACCTAACAAGCCTCCCAAGGCCTTTAATTCTCAGGGCCGTTTGGGGAGGCCAGTTACCTGCTGGCGTCTTCCAAATGGTCCAAACTCAGTTCGAGCCGCCAGGACTCCCGGATGCCGGGAGCACTCAGCCCCCTTTTCTTTCCCTGAGGGCAAGAAAGAGCTGCATAGGAGGCAGCATGGCCCAGACCCCCGCCCAGCTCCCGCCGGCGGAATCTTGCGGGGAAAGCTGGGATTTCGCTGCCGCTGACATCCTGGCCGCGGCTTTCTGGAGCTTGGCGTTTGATAAATATAGCCTGGCGTTTGCCCCTGAATTAGACTCCGTTTCCTTATTTAGCTTTTGCACAATGATTTTAGATGATGTCACTTAGAGCTAAACGAGAAAATTGATCTCAGATTTGCTTGGCCTCTAAAGCCTGGTTAAGCAGATTGAGAATTAAAAAGACAGAGGAAAAAGCAAAGAGGTGGGGGGTTGGGGTGGAGGGGAGCGCAGTGTGCGCCCGAGAGTGTGTGCGCGGAGGGGAGGGCGCGCGGCGCCGCGTAGAGCGCCCCCGCCTCCTCTGGGCGGGGGAACCTCACTCACCAATGAAAAGTAGTTACTGACTGCAGAGAAAAAAAAGTTTTCCTGTTGACTGTTGGAAGCGAATTGAGCAATTATCTAGTTTACCTTCTCCTCTTGGAAGTTAACGATTGGCGAGATCTTGGCTGCGTTATTGACACAACACTTTCTATTGATAGAAATAAGTAGTGATTGTCCCCGAGTCATTGGTGCGCCAAGAACTCTGCGATGGGCTGGCAGGAGTCCATTGGGCTGGGCAGGCAGGTTCGGCTGGTGATGCTGGGGAGGAGGAGGCGGAGGCTGCTGGTGGTGATGGTGCCGGTCCCCCTCTCCACAGGTCTGTGAGAAGCAGGGAACAAGGCAACGACAGCGCAGCCCGACCCGGGCTGACGGACGCTGGCGACTCAGACATGGACAGTAGCTGCCACAACGCGACTGCCAAAATGTTAGCGACTGCTCCGGCCCGGGGCAACGTGATGAGCACCTCCAAACCCTTGGCCTTCTCCATCGAACGGATCATGGCGCGCACCCCAGAGCCCAAGGCCCTGCCTGTTCCCCATTTCCTGCAGGGAGCCGTGCCCAAGGGGGACTCCAAGCACTCGCTGCATCTTAACTCGTCGATCCCCTGCATGATTCCCTTCGTGCCTGTGGCGTACGACACGAGCCCCAAGGCGGGAATGACGGGCTCCGAGCCGCGGAAGGCGAGTCTGGAAGCTCCCGCGGCGCCAGCAGCGATGCCGGCAGCGCCTGCGTTCAGCTGCAGCGACCTGCTTAACTGCGCACTGAGTCTCAAGGGCGACCTGGCCCGCGACGCGCTGCCGCTGCAGCAGTACAAGCTGGTAAGGCCGCGTGTGGTCAACCACTCTTCCTTCCACGCCATGGGAGCCCTGTGCTACCTGAATCGAGGCGATGGCCCGTGTCACCCGGCGGCCGGCGTTAACATCCACCCGGTGGCCTCTTACTTCCTCAGTTCCCCTTTGCACCCGCAGCCCAAAACGTATTTAGCCGAAAGGAATAAACTGGTGGTCCCGGCAGTGGAGAAGTACCCCTCGGGAGTAGCTTTCAAAGACTTGTCCCAGGCTCAGCTGCAGCACTACATGAAAGAGAGCGCCCAGCTTCTGTCGGAAAAAATCGCGTTTAAAACCTCTGACTTCAGCCGAGGCTCTCCTAATACGAAGCCCAAAGTTTTCACTTGCGAAGTGTGTGGAAAGGCAAGTACTAAGAAGAAAGGAGGTCTTCCTCCTTCCCTCCCTCTCTCCCGCTTTCTTCCCTCCCTTCTTCCTTTCCTTACTTTTATTTTATTGTTATTATTTGTATGCACTTGTTGTAAGGTGCTCTCCGCCCTCTGCCCGGTTTGATTTCACCGTGCTTGTGGGCTAACCTGTTGTCTATGTGTTTACCTTGAAGGTCTTTAACGCGCACTATAACTTAACCCGTCACATGCCGGTGCACACAGGAGCCAGACCCTTCGTTTGCAAAGTGTGTGGAAAGGGCTTCCGGCAAGCCAGCACCCTGTGCAGGCACAAGATTATTCACACCCAGGTGTGTGCCTCTGTCTCGAGTTCACCTGGTTTACTTCGGAGCGGTTTGTAGAAAAAATGGCTGATAAACTCTTACTCTTTAGCGTAAGGGTTGTTTAAAGCGTGCTGGCTGAACGCGGGGATATGCCGCGTATTGTTTGCCTTTGTTCTGCTACAGAAGCATGAGAGGGAGCATTACTCTGTTTTTGAGTTTGTGGGACTCCACTTAATAACAAAGTACCTTAACTTCTCTGCTTTTCCTCCCTTCTTCTTAGGAAAAACCTCACAAATGTAACCAGTGTGGCAAAGCATTTAATAGAAGTTCCACTTTAAACACGCATACCCGAATACACGCAGGCTACAAACCCTTTGTATGTGAATTCTGTGGCAAAGGATTTCATCAAAAAGGTATTGACCCGGGGAGGCGTTCTCTTGCACGGTATAGTCTTACCGAAAACCCTAATCTTTTCTGGATATTTTAGAAAACATTTTTTTAAAGTGCAGCTAGTTTACTGGCGCATTGGGTTGCCATCCCAACCACCAACCCACAAGTCTCATTAGTCTTAGAGAAAGGCCGTGTTCATATACCAAGGGGATATTTTTCTTAACCGCTTGTTCTTGTTTTACATAATTGGATTAATAAATACATATTAAAACGTGGAGGGACCGGCCTCATAGTTGAGGTTTAAAATTCAGCATGGGGAGAAGAGTGCAGGCCCCCAGCGCAGCCCTGCACCAGCCGTCGGAGCGGTGGCAGCTCTCCCTCTTGCCACATTGTCCTTCGACCCGTGCACTCCTCCCTTTTTCAAGCTCTCTTTTCAGATCCACATCCTTGTCATTTGTCTGTTTCAGGGAATTACAAAAACCACAAGTTGACCCACAGCGGGGAGAAGCAGTTCAAGTGCAATATCTGCAACAAGGCTTTCCACCAGGTTTACAACCTCACCTTCCACATGCACACCCACAACGACAAGAAGCCCTTCACCTGCCCCACGTGCGGCAAGGGCTTCTGCAGGAACTTTGACCTCAAGAAGCACGTCCGCAAGCTGCACGACAGCAGCTTGGGGCTGGCCCGCTCGGCTGCTGGGGAGCCAGGCGCAGACCAGCCTCCTGCTCTGCAGCCGCCGCCCGCCGCGACGCTGCCACCCCCTGGGCCCCTGCAGCCCGGGCTCCATTCCAGCCACCAGTGATCAAGGCCAAAGTCCCTCCCCAGCTACAGCCGGAGTACCTACTACTGAGGCAGCGGCAGAATCGAGGTGGACCTCCCAATCCGAGCTGGTCTGCACAGCCCAGGGCACTTTGGGTCCCACACGTTGGCGCCGACCAGACAAGCCTCTATGTTCCCCGGCTTTTCGCCTCTTGCATGCACCTGCTAAATGTTTCTGTGTATTATATTCTATATAGGCACTAACAATTATGAGGAAATTTGGGGGTTTTGTTTGTTTTCTTTTTCTTTTTTTAATTTGGGAAGGCTGTTCATCTCGGGCGGAGAGGTGGTGTCCGTTTTGTTTTTTAAAAACAAATTCCTGCTGTATTTATTGAGATCTGTATTATCCTACCCGGGAATGCTGCACCGTTTTAATTTTATTATTGTATATACTTCCATTGTGTTGATTCTGCTGGTTCAAGATGCCTGCCGATTGTTTATTATCATTTCCTTTCCCTGAGGTAACAAGCGCCGAGCGTATGTTATATACACAAACGCATAGGTGAGTGTACCTGTACAGGCACATTCCACACCGGGGAGCACAGACACCTGCACACACGTCAGATAAGGGTGGTTCATTATGGATGAATTTGAATTTTAGTTTTGATTCTTGCACGTGAAAATGGATTCATTGACTGTTGGAAATAAATATTTGGAACATGCTTATTTAATCAACAGACTTCAGGACTCTGTACCTGTTATTCAGCTAGCGAGCACTGCTTCTGACCCCGACATCCTTCCTCCTTTTTAAAAAGTTCAACCCTGGGTTAGTATCATCTAACGCTTGATCTGAAAAAAATCACCAAAAACAAACAGTAGTCTCTCCAAATAGTTACACTTTGGTAAAGTAATGACATTTGATAAAGTTTAGAGACGGAAGATGTGGACTTTTATAACAGACGCAATCTGATGCGTTTGAATTCCTCAGTGAAATAGAGACAACCTGTCTAGGTGGTGAGTGTAATATACATCCCCACCCGCATTAAAACCGTGCCGTGTAGAGGGGTATCTATTGTTTGCATCCTGAAGGTATATACTGCCTTGTACACAACTGGCAAAGGACGCCTCTGCGCTTTTAGGTGTGTTTATCTGTTTATAGACCAATATACTTCCATTCAAGGAGGAAACATGGGTGAAAACCAAACTGTGGCGGGTGCCAGGTCCTTGAAATGCTTCAAGTGTTAATCAGCAGCTCCGCTGTGATCTCGGGCTCTGGTGTTTTCTAACTGCAAGTCTCTCCTGTTTTCTTGCCAAAACAGTGAAACAACTGCTAAAGACTTTAATTAAGAGGGGTAATTAGTTCAGATTTATCAAAGCCGGGTTGTTATACTATTAGCTGCTCAGTAGAAGCTGCCAGACAAGCTCCCAGCCCAGCACAGCCATCCCGCAGCAGCGGGGCCACATCTGGGAGAGAGGCTGGGGGGAGCGGGCTGGAGGGGTCCCCGCGGGGCCAGCCCAAGGGGTGCGCCTCGGCCCCTCCCTCGGCCTCCCGCTCCCGCCAGACCCCGCAGCAGCGGTTATCCACAGCGTTTCCGCACCGCGAGCGCAGCCCGGGAGAGCCCCAGGATTTCGTCTCCGCGCCCGGGGCAGTGCGCCCCGACCATGGGAAGAGCTTAGGTGCGAGGAGCCAGTTTCAATGTGCGGTCCCGCCACGCTTTTGTGTGCGGCGCTCAGTGAAACGGGCACGGGGCAGCGACCTGCGGGAAGAAAGACAAGAGATGGGCCGGGGGCACTGCAGGGTCGAGGTGGCGTTTTCCTTAGCAACCAGAGCCCGCATTTCGAGGCAGGGAAGGATTCACCGCTCCGTGTGCCGAGAGCCGACGGCCCGAGGGGCTCCCCGGAGGCCCAAGAAGCAGGAGGCGACCGCGGGCGAGTGGGTGAGCGGTACCCGCAGGACAACCAAGCCATGTCCCACCTGGGCCCCTTTCGGGTTGAGGAAGCCGGGGACTCCGGGCGCGGAGTTGGGCAGCAGCGTTCCCCAGAACTGGGACGTCCTGATTCCACGTGCAGACGTCGGGTCTAGACCCTGCTCTTGTCCCAGGACTCGCGACCTTTGTCATCCACCCACCTCAGGCCCCGTGGCTTTTAAGTCCCAGGTCAGCAATCAGTAAATAGGATCCATACATGTCTGTCTCCCTGACCTCCCTACACCCCACCTTTTCCTTTGCTGAGACCCGATCCGTGTTAGATTTGACTTCGGAAAGGTATGGATAGTTTTGGAATTCCATAGTTGGGTGGATTGCGAATCTGCGTGGCTGGTAGATGGGCCATCTCTCCCTGAACACCGCAGCCGACTGGAAAATCTTGTCCCAGGCCGCTGGCCATGTTCCCACACAGCTGCCCACGTCACAGGGGGAGTTTAGGGAAATGTCCCCTCGTTTTGGAGGTGGCTTAGTCGGATCTTGAAAACATTTGTTCTCTTTGAGTAAATGAAATGAGATCAGGGGCCATTATAAAGGGCAGAAAATGGCCTTTGCTTGTTGAACTTATTCTTAATAATTATTTGAACTTCTCAAAACGCCAGTAAGTAGTTCTTCCTGGCTTTCCAGGTAACTGGAAAAGAAAATGAACATGGTTGAGGAAAATTACTAAACCACAAAATACTTTCAGCCAGGAAGTCCTCATAAGTGACAGTCCCACCTTCTAACACACGCCAATGTGCTTTGACTTACACTGAAGAAAG